CATAATAGATAATGTGAAATAGGAAGAAAAGGGGCAAAGGGGAAGGGGAAGTGGGAGGGGTAGGGAAAAGGCAAGAAGGGAATGGAATTAATATGAGAAAATGAAACAATGGAAACAAAGTCTTTGTAAATAGGGAGGGATGGAGGGGCTGAAGGGAGGGCAGGGGAAGAGGGAAAAAATAAGAACCAAAAGTAAACGTCTTCTCCTTTAAGTTGCAGGTGTCAGGTATTTTGTCCCCCGTGACAGGAAAGTGAAAGTGACTGATCCATGGGCCCTCTTAGTTTGGTGAGGGCCTCGGCCTGTATGAATTTGTCCATGTGCAGGCTGACTGATGTATATAGAATCTAGAGCAAGGATGGGAACATCGTGACAAAGCTAGGAAACAGTTGATTTGGAGCAAAAGGAGGGTTACTTACCTTGAATACATTCTCCAAACTGATGCTTTCTGAAAACATTTTAACCAAATAGGTTGACATAATGATTGTTAGGATGTATTAAATATTATCACAGAAAGAAATGTAAAAGGAGAGCTGTAGGAAGTTAGATGGTTAGAAAGGGCCACTACTTATGCTGTCAATCACTAGCCACCAGCAGAGCCCATTCCATATACCCATTGCCTCCCCTTCTGGACCGCGAAAGATTAATAAGTGCACATTTGCCGTGTACTCCCCATCCCCTCAGTAAGAACCTGACATGGCTTGTGTTTGACACCAGAATGAAGTTCTTAGATGATTAAATTTTTTTTCTTAGGGTAAGACAGGAAAGGACAACAATAAAACAATGAACTTATATGTGATTTATATATCTCCCAAAGTACTTCATCTTCAGGAGCGTGTACAGTAGCTATGAAAAATGATATGAGCCCTTGCATCAGTGAGGACACTGAGCCATACGGTCATATTATTATTATTATTATTAGAGTCCAGTAGTTAGACTCACTTCCTTGTCTCCTGAAAATACCAGAGGTTGGCTTCCAATTTCTGTTGGAATTAGCATAAACTAATGGGTCTTAAATCATGGAAAATATTAAGAGAACCTAAAAGAAACCAGACTAAAGAATATTTTAGTACTTTTCTATTATTATTTTCATTATTATTAATCACCCTGACTGGTGTATTTTAGGATATTGATGTGCCTGACCTTGGATGTCATAGTACCCTGACATTATTAAGCACAGGAGAATTGATAGCTTTTAGAAAGAAATAGCAAGAATGAAATTAACTCTCAACCAGTATACCTCTGACAGCAGCAGATGGATGAGAGTAAAGAAAAGATGTAGTTGCAAAGGAAATCATGTTTCTGCCCCTTGAATCTTCCAAATCAACCTACTTTGACTCTGATTAGCATCTGAATTTTCCCTGTGAAAACTCTGAACCCCAATGATAGAAGGAACTAAAGGCCTTCCTTTATACTTCCGTTGACAACAGCACTGGAAAATACTGATTTGTAGGTGCTTTTGCTAAATGAGAAGCAGTTCTTCTCCTCAATTCTAGCTGGAAAACAAGATACTGGGACAACATAGGCATTTTTCGTGTCTGCTGAACTGGCCTTTGCCAAGAGGTGGACAGTAGACTTTGGAAGACTTTGGAAGTCGATCAGAGCTGAACTGGTTTTGCCAACATAATCTGCATGTAAAGTTTGGAAAGAAAAAATACCAGTCAGGAAAATTTTGATTTGTTTTTAAGATCCAGAATACAAACAATTCCTAGACAGGGAGGTTTTCTGTTGTTAATGTCAAAATTAGCTTTCTTTTTAGACTAGAGTAGCATATTCCCTCTGTGGGCTCTTTGAAAGGAAACCTGTACCACTCAGGTAATTCTGAGCCCCAGAGTCCTAGGATAGATGTTGAGAACCAGGTCTCTAGTCCTCAGTACTTGAGCTGGCACTGTATTCTCATCTGAACTGGCATTTCTAGACTGGATCCAATCTCTTTTGCAACCCTAAGGACCCTTCAGGAGATCTTGTCAGGTCATTCTTGGGAAGAGCAAGGCTACTGCAAATGCTGGCCAGGACACACCCAGTGCTCACCCAAAGCCTGAAGACATTCGGGCCGAATATCTCAATAATCACGATGATTATGGTGAACTTTTCAGTGGCTATGAGTCTCTTCTTCTTTGGGGAACGCCCCTGATAACTGTGGAGGAAGAGAACGTGTGTGTAAAGTGTAAAGTCTAATTCGTCAAACATGTTCCTCCACTGGACTAGAGGGACAGTGAGCAGGAGGGAGAGGAAGAGGAGTAGAAAAAGGATTGGGCAGGGAAGATAAATAGTAAATATTGAAAATGTGTTTTGATAAGAGTAAAAAGAGCAAGTAAATCAGAGATAGGATAGTAGTGTCCCCTTATCCTCTAGGGATGGGTTCCAAGACCTTCAGTGGATACTTGGAACCCACGGCCAGTGCTTAACCCTAGACATAGACACTGCAATGTCATAATAGTTGATCTGATCACTGAGATGGCTGCTAAGCGACTGGTGAGCAGGTGGCATGAACAGTGTGGATACATTGGACAAAGAGGAGGCCCACTGCTAGCACAGGAGAGACCAGTCCATGCAAGATTTAATCACACTACTCAGAGCACAGCGCAGTTTAAGACTTGGGAGTTGTTTATTTCTGGAATTTTGCATTTAATATTTGCAGTTCATGGTTAACCAGGGGTAACTGAAACTGCAAAATGTGAAACCACAGAAGCCAAGGCCATGATTTAGGGGGGAGTAGTTTACTTTGCTGCTCTACCCACCCAGCATGGTATACAGGCTTTCGGCAGCTCATATTTCTTGCAAATAGTTGTGAGCGTTTCAAGGGGAAAGTCCTCCTCACTGGTTTTACAACACTGGGGTACAGGAGGCAACCGGTAAATACTTCCTTGGTAAACACAAGGTCACGAGTTCTGTGAAGGAGCAATAGTGCCATGACGGGAGGCCTAAGGAAGTGACAAGGGGCTGAACTAGGGTGGAGAACAGTGAGAGGCAAATGTGTAAAGAGAACAAGAAATTCTGTTTCAAAGCCCTGTGGCAGGAAGGACCCCAGCGTGCTGGTTCAGGATCTGAAGGCGCAAAGGACAATATGGCAAGGGCTGAGGCTAGGAAGTGGGGATTGAGCCTCGTAGGCCCTGCTGAGGGGATTTTTTTTCTTTTATCTGAGTGCAGTGGGCTCTGAGCAAGGAAGTTGAGGGGCTCTGAGCAAGGAAGTGGGGAGATGCTATGTGTCTTTTGCAAGGATCTTTCTCGTAGCAGTGTGGAGAATGGAGAGTCTGTACTCAGGTAGTTTGGGAAATGAGGTTAAACAAAAGGAATAGCTTCTTTCCTGTGGGACTTTTCGAAGGCGATAAAAACTGGCCATGCCTTGGAATCTCTATGGAGAGGAAGCCGTTAGGGTTTGGGCTTTCTTAAACTCGTTTGGCAGTGGTACTTTCATTTTCTTTTTTACATTCTTCGTGCGGAGTTGGTACATGTACATAACACATCTTAATTCCTTTTTTGCATCCCCCCTCCCTACTTCCTATTATCTACATTTTATTTTGCTCTTCATTTACACAATGCGTTTCTCATAGAAGAGAAACCAGGTGAGTAAACCTTGGCGACATCCGTGTGATCCTGGTTTTGCAGGCATGCAGAATGCAAGAGCTGTAGAGTCGGGGAGGTATTCATCTGGTCTTCAGAGGAAGCCTGAGAGGGCCCACACCGTATCCCTGAGAGGACAGTGTGTGAAGCTGTCCGGTAAGTTCAAAGTCCAATAGAGAGCCAGGAAGTTGGAGAAGCCAGGAACATGGACTGTCAACTGAGGAAAGCTTCAGGCAGTGAGCAAAGCCACCCCAAGAGAGATGCTATGAGGGCTGCAACTGGAGATGCCGCAGGGATGGGGCCTCCCATGCTGTTGGGAGCTCACATCTTCCCTCAACTTGCCCTGGGTGCTGGACACAGAGCTACAGGATTTACTATTTCCCTGCTGAGATTTGGGCTTCATTCGGTCCAATCCCTTTCTACCTTCCAATTTCTCCCTTTTAGAATGGCATTATTTACCTGGTATCATTGTTAAGTCAGCAATATTTAACTTTCTTTTTTAGGGTTACAGGGGCTCACACTAAGAGTTTGCTTTGAATCTCAGAAGAGACTTTGGCCTTGGACTTTTCATCAATACTGGAACTGTTCAGGCTTTGGGGACTCTTGGAGATGGACTAAATATATTTTGCATAAGGAGATGGACCTGAATTTCTTGGGGGCCAGGAGTAGAATGATATGGTTTAGATCTAGAATGTTCCCCCAAAGCCTCCTGTGTTTGGAAGGTGATTGTATCATGGGATGCCCTAACTAAACCTGCTGTCCGGAAGTGGATCCTGCTCAGAAGAGGAGGTCACAAGGCCTACTACCCTGCCTTTTCTGCCTTGCATTGGGTATTTTGTCATAGCTCTGAGAAATTGACTAAGACCTGGGATCCCTGCTGCTCAGGAGACTATGGATACAAAACATATCCCTAAGGACCACCATCTCCGCAAGAGCAGACTTCCTCCCTGAATTTTCCTGTGCCCCCTGGAACATTCCTAGATAATCATCCTACTGACAGTTATTGTTTATTGAAAATATACTATGGGTGCTGATACTAATTCATGTATTTTACCTCCTTGTATCATCATAAAATCTCTATGAATTTTATGAATCGATAGAAGGTAAAAATAAATTTTCAAATTGTTTTAGCAAAAGCATGGTGAAGCCATCCATGTGAATCCTAAGTTCTTACTAATTCATTTCATGGTGTTAATTTTCCTCTCCTGTTTTACTCTGAAAGAGAGAGGGAGGTTTGAAGCCATCATCAAAAGCTCTGTGTCACACCCTCTGCCCCTGTCAGTTGTGCCTTTGTGGTGGTGCTATAACTATAATTAAACTTGGAAGGATAATTTTAGAGAATATTTTTTTCCACAAAACAGGAGGGAAATGACAGCTTGCTCACAGACAATGGGGTCTTTCAATATGCAAAGGACTCTTATTTGACAAATTGGGAGCTAAGAGATCCAATGATCCAGCACTAAAATCCCTGATGGCCCCCCACCACCGCATCTTGCTGGAGAAGCTCTTCTCAGCAGCAGACCAGGCCACCTGTGCCTCTGCATGCCCACTGCTGTCCTCCAGCCCTGGGCTCATGGTGGCACCATCTGCCTCTGGGGGTCAGCCCTGCCCTGGACACTGCAAAAGGAAGCAGACACCATCATTGCATGAAGAAGTCAGTATCCAAACCAGCCCTGAGTTGCCCACAGAGGTGCAAGAGGACCCCAAGAGAAGTAGAGAAAAGTTATATTTGGGCCAGGTACATGGGTCAATATTTTCCACATCATCTTTGTCATCATTAGTATCTGCACCAACAATAATTGTTGGGATTTTAGGGAACTGAGAAATGGTACTACTTCTACTGGTATGAAACTCATGAAAAATGAAGTTAGATGATTAAACTTGCAATTTTATTGTTGATAATGGCTGGGTTGGACTATGCTCTCTATCTCCATCCATAAAAGGCAATCTACACTTTTAAACTATAAGACAGCCTTATGGCAGGGCTAACACAAGCTTGCAGTGGAGTGGAGAGGAAATGACAAGCACTCCTTCCTTCTACACAAAGCCAGATCCAAAAGGCCGAGCATGCTCAGTTTCTCCTCCCCATCTCCAGACCAAGAAGCCAACTTCTGTTCTGGAATGAAGTGGGGAGAGAGAGGTAGAAGCCAAAAGTGTTCTTCCCATTTTATTATTCACAGGATTGCAGAATATCCCATTTTTCCTTCTACCAGAACTTGAGGCATAGAACCACATTTCCCACAATCACATTCATCATCACAATGAACACAGCAAGAACGGATAACCCTTTGTGTAGATGGTCACAGATGGTTTCAAAGTCCACATCGACCCTGGGAGGACAACAAAGTGTCATCCCCATCTTACAAGTGAGGAAAGTGACACGTGGTGAGTATAGTGGTTTGACTAATGGTCAACTTGTAACGCCAAGCTGAATTGAATTATCATGGTCTGGCTGTGAAGGATCCACCTGAAGATTGTTACCAAAAGCCATAAAAAGAGAACTGGGGGATAAGATTGTGGGCTGTTGACTTTCTAGGAGAAGCTTGCTGTGGATGGTTTTCCTGATGTGAACTAGGCTGTTCTTGTCAGAGGAGGAGCTCAGGGCCTCACTGTCACTGGGAATGGCTAATGCTTTCATCAGGGGAGCTCTGATCTTTACCGGGTGCATCCCTTCCTGGCTCCAATGTAGATCCCTTAGCTTGGTGGCACAAATCCTTCATCTCACCAGCGTAGATTTTCTGGCCTCCACCACTGGCCTTTGGGCCTTCCAGGTGCTGATCCTCAATACGGACAAGCATGAGACATTGCCGTGGGCTCTAGGCCACTGGCTGGACTTATGGAGGACACTGCCTTGGACTCTAAGCCTTTAGCTGGACTTGTGTGGGAAACTGCTGGAATCTAAGCCCTCAGCTGAATCCTTTAGGCTTCTAGGGTGTGGTTAATTTCTTGCACTCCTTTGCATTTGACTTTTTGGGTAATTATCGTAAAATAATCTTAGAAATTATGTGTCCTGTGTTTAATGTATTCCCTTGCCAAATCCTGCTGACTACAATAGTGAGGTTAATGGACTGACCTATATTTACCCAGTTAATAAGCCAGCATTCAAATCCAACTCAATTTCACCCACTCTGCTATACACAGCCTTAAAATGGTGCCAGTAAGTAAATCCATGGGTCTGGTCTCCATAGGGGTTAGTCAGGATTGGAGGCACAGGAGGCCTGGGCCTCAGCAGCAATGACAGAGAAGCCTGAGCCTTAAATCTGCTCAGCACTGTCATTACCAGGATCATCAAGGAGGTGCCCTGGATGGATCAGCATGACCATGGAGGTCTGAGCCCAGACTGGCATCTCCCTTGCCCCCAGCATCTTCATGGTGTCATTACATCCCCTGCCATCCACATCCCAGGAAAGGGAAGAGCAAGATGCTCAACATCAGTGATGTGTTCCAGGCCACAGAAGAAATGGAGTACCACCCAGCTCCAGATGTACATAAGCAAGAGCAGAGATAAAAACAAGGCAAGAAAAAGGGCAAAGAAAAAGGACAAAAGCAGACAAACAAAGAAGATTCACAGAAAGCAAGAAAAGTGCAGAGATGAAGACAATGACTAAGGTGAGGAAAGCCTGGAAGAACAGAAGAGGAGGAAGTAGACAAATGAACAGGGTGGGCGGACGGTGGCACCATAGAAACTCCCGCTCTCAGACATGGTGCATGTTTATGTGAAGCTTTCCCCTGTTGGGCAAAGTAGTCTTAGGTGCTAGGGCCTGAGAAGGTCAAAATAAAAAATGAGCCAGGCACAGTGGCGCAGCTCTGTAATCCCAGTGCTCTAGGAGACTAAGGCAGGAGGACCCCAAGTTCAAGCCCAGCCTGGGAAACTTAGTAACTTAGCAAGACTCTGTCTCAAAATATAAAATAAAAAACAGGCTGGGGATATATCTCAGCACAAAGGCCCTGTGTTCAATCCCAGGTCTAGAAAACAACTAGAATTATCATCAAAATCACTTGCTTCCCTGGCTCAACGCAGGTGAATAACAGAGTCCTGTTTCACTTAATCAGTCTAAAGGTTATGACTTTTTCACCAAAGGGATTCTCAATAGCTTATTAGTCAATTTGAAGGGGGAAAGACCAAAAACAAGTTAGTTAGTTTGGGAACAAAAATTTTCTTTTCTGCAATTAAAGGCCATAGTCATAAAATTGTCTATGAGTTAATTCTTCTCCTTCCTGGGGACTGAGAAGGACTTTGGGGGCTTGGCCCAGTCACAGGAGGCTTTTCAAAGGTGTGTGGCCTGTTTCCTGAGAGCACAATGCACCATTGCCAAAGTCCCTTCCTGAGACACGGCCAGTGATAGGGCCATGACCAGCAGAGCTGAATAAGAGCCAAGGGCTGGGGACATTAGTGGTGGTGGCTTGATACAAATCTCATGTTTGCTCCATCTCAGAGACTAATGATGAGGAGTCCCCAAAGCAGAATCTGATGGTGAATCTGGGCCCCAGTTCCCTCTTTGAGCTCCCTTGCTATATGATTTTGGAGGGCAGTTCTCTACTTTCTCATATTAAGCAAAAAGTGTGTCCACTGGTGCAGTGGGTGGCCTCTGAGATGTCCCCTAGTGATCCCCACCTCCTGGTGACCCTGCCTGGTAGAATCTGCACTCCTGAGTGTGGACTGGACCTCCTGGTTTACTTCTAATAGACCGGAATGCAGCAAAAGGGACAGAGTGTTACATCTGAGATTAGGTTACACACGGGCTGCAGCTTCTATCTTGGACACTCACCCTCTCCTGCTGCTGTCTGGCACTAAGAAAAGCCAGTTGCCATGCTGTGAGCTGCTCTGGAGAAAGGGCCACTTAGCGGGAAACTGAGATCTGTCCAATAGCAGGAAGACTCAAAATAAAAAATGACCGTGTGGAAGCAGGACTTCTTCCAGTGGAGCCTGACATGAGGCAGCACTGGCCAACCCCTCCATGGCATCCATGCACAGAAGAGAGTCAGAGATTATAGATTTTGGACTCAAAGCAGAAGATAACAAATGCTAAGTGAAATAAATCAAAAGCACAAGCTTAAATATTGCATGGTTTCTCTTATATGAGAAACCCAAAGTATAAATAAATTAAAGAGCCAACAGAAGATGGATAATAGGAAAAAGAGAGATAGATCTTCTGAAAATGGGAAGGGGACCAGAGATGGAAGATGATAGATGAAGGGAAGGAGAAGTAAAAGAGCTAAGATGTGTTATATATGGGTACCGATTCCCCATAAGAAATGTAAGTATTATGTACTGCAAACATGAACTAATGAAATTTAAAAACATATTTATTTTACAACATAGGAATCATTTGTTCTACAGAAATAGATAACAATACAAACAACAGAAGGGAATTCCGTACCTGGACACCAAATGGTGATCTTCAGTTCTTCCCAGTACATTCACTTTGAATGCTTTTATCCCTAAATGTTCTGTGGAGAACTCCTTTGTGTCCCTGACATCAGGGCAGGTGGGGACTTTTATAAGTGAGCTGGAGATGTGAAATGTTAAGGGTAAGGAGCTCTCCATTTGCTGCCTTTAAATTCTCTCTACCTAGCCCAGCACTTGCCTCTTCTAGAAGGGCAAAATTGATTTCCTATGGGGTTGGCATCCTATCTGCGGACCTCTGCTTAATTATCAAGGCCCTATTGGGTGTGTGTTTCTGCTTTTCTTTAAATCTGCATGTCTACACATAAATATACATCCAGTATATTTTCCTTTATATAGAGACACAAACTGTGATATGAATAAATGAACAATATTGTATCAAAATGTACTGAATACTTAAAAAAGATGTTTTTATTCAGAGATTTCAAAGTCATGGTTGTTAAATGGTAAGACTAGCAGAAAAGGACTGAAAACTGGCTTTGCTTTATTTAATATCAATGAAGTGAATTTGCTACATATAGAATAATATATCTCCTAATAGAACATGAAAATAGAAATCATTAACAAGAGTTACCTCATCATTGGTTGATCATTAAGAGTTATTGTCTCTTTCTTGCTATAATTGCCTCCCCATTTGTATAACTTTCTTCCTCCAGAGAAAGACTCTTGGCAGACAAATGTTCTCTCTCTTTCCTATTTGTTCAGACTTGACTCCCAAGCTCTGAAAAGCTCATGACATTTGACACTGGAAAAGAGAATAAATGATCCTCTATAAATAAATACTACCATAAAGAGACAATTCACCAGTCCTCCATGGTAAATCTAAAGGATGAGCACTGTGAGTAAAGAATGGTATATTCCTTTGCTTGTGCACACACACACTCAATCCTTTTTCTGAAAGAAGCTATATATTTCCCGGTTAATATTTGAACACTGATAAGGATTTAGATCTCAGGGGTTGATTATTCTGGTGATTATCCCCTAGAGTATGAATGATTTTCCAAATCTGGATAGACTTTGGCCTGCAAAAAGCAACATGATTAATGTCAACAAGGAAAAAAGCAGCTATCACATCCAGAATGATAAAGCAAATGAAGCTGATTTCCTTGCTTTGGGAATCACATGTGCTCATCCCAGACACAAGCATTGCGTAGAAACTGTCACCAGACTGACCTATTCCTAAAACACTTGCTGGTTGCAATTTCAGTCTCATTAGAGCCATCTATGCAAATGAGATGGAAAACAGCAGGTTGCCAATAACAACAAGGGGACACTGAGCAGAGAATGTGGCGCTCACTCACACAGTGGCTAATGAAGGGCTTGGGAGCAGGTGATCCACAAGGTCTCATCACCTCTGCAAAGACTCTGCTGCACACCTAACATGAAAAAAAGGGGCAAAACTATCTCCAAGGTGACCTTGTAACCACACAGAACTGGAACTCATACCATTAGCCTGGCTTTGTCCACTCTGTCGCAGGCATGAATGGCTCACCAAAGCTCTTTATCTAGCCCCTAACATTCGTTCAAGTGACAGGAACTGGAGGGTCAACCAGCTCGAGGGATTACAGGCTTTGTAAATGGTCCATGGTGAGAATGCTGTGCATTTGAGGGGCTGCTTGGACTGTTCCAAAGCTCCCACAAGATTTCCTAATATCATCCTACTTCTGGCAACTTTCCTTAGAACAGAAGAGATTCCTGGGCAAGTCAAGGAAAGATTGTCTTCACAATGATGCTTTTGAGTCCTACCATCCCATTCTCAGACTTCGCTGGAAATCTGGGGATGAGGGCCACATGCAGAAGAGCATAATGGTTAAGAGGCTCTGGAGATCCAGGTTCCAAGTTCAAATCTCAAATCCACTCTTTCCTATATGACAGTGGACAAGTAACAGAACTTCTCTAAGCCTCAGTTGCCCCTGGTAAAATGAAGGCAATAAGAGCATTTACAGAGTGCTTTATAGAATTACCTAGACGAGCCTCATGCAGGGCTTACTTAGCAGCGTCCAGAACAAAATAAGTGTTCAACAAATGTATAGAAAAACACAGATCTACCTAGAAATTATCTTTGGGCCCGGGATTTAGCTCAGTGGTTTCGCTGCCTGCTGCGCAAGCGCAAGGACCCAAGTTCGATCCCCGGTACCAAAAAAAAAAAGAAATTATCTTTATTTCTAATAACAGAGATTACTTCCATGGAAAGCAAGATAAATACCCAGATGTAAAAGGTTTCCCTAAAAGAAGCTTATTATCAGCATTAATTCCAGAGTCAGGTATATCAAGGATTATCCTGACTGCAAGAACAAGAAGAGGTTGTAGTTGATTGTTGGCCCTAAGACCGACTTCCAAGCAAGGGAGAGTCTAAGACTGCAGTCTGGAAATTCTGGGCATTCACTGTCTCAGGCAGGGAAGGAGCCTGTGAGAGGGGAGCACCAGGAGCGTTCAGGGACACTAGACGGCTGTTGGAGCCTTGAGTTTGCCCCCACAGAGTCATTGAGTTTTTCTTTCCATCCTTCTCAGCAGACTTTGTGTCACATCTTAATAGCTGATAAAATAAGAACACATAATGTTGACAATAACAAGAAAATAAGTATGCACTGTCGCTGCGTTTAGTAGCTCAAGAGAAAAGAAAATGATATCAGCGTATTAATATCAGCATATCAAAAAGATACCTACATGCCCTGTTTATTGCGGCTCTATTCACAATAGCTACGATACAGAATCAAATTAGATGCCTGACCACAGATGAATGGATAAATAAAACATTGTATATATACACAAGGGCGTATTATTCAGCTATAAAGAAGAATGATGTCCCAACATTTGTAGCAAAATGGATGGAACTGGCGGACATTATGCAAAGTGAAAGAAGTCGGACATAGATAAATACCTACTGTTCATCCGCATATGCGGATGCTAATAAAATAAGAAGCCTCTATTAATATAAAATCATAATTATGAGATGTGGGAAATAGGACGGAGGCTCCACAAGGGGAAGGTGAACAACAGGTACCGAAACACAGTTAGATGAAAATAATGAGTTCTAATGTTCTACAGCTCTACAACACAGTGGAGAAATCAAACAGTAGTTCACAATAACCTATTATATCTCTAATGACTAACTAAAAGGTTCCAGATGCAAAGTAATGATAAGGAGATAGAAATGTTGACAACCCTGATTTGTATGTACTGTACATGCATCAAAATACCACACTGTGCCTCATTAATATGGGAGATTATTGCATGTTAATAAAAAAAATTAATCTTTGGGAAATCTTAATTACCTTGATTTGGTCATTACACACTGTATACATGTATATTAACTTATCACATCCCCTAAATGTTTACAACTAAAATAATAATATTGAAAACTTTAAACAAGAAAAAATATACCAATACTTTTTAGAGGAAGGGTTTTACCCCCACTCTAATGGGACAAACATTGGAATAAAGAGCAATTGTGCTCAAGCTGAGACAACCAAGTGATCTGGAGTGAAATCAGCGGGGAAGACAGCATGACCCAAGGTCAGGAAAACCAGCAGAGCCACTGGGTGGAGATCTGCAGGGCTGAGTGGAAGAGCTTTGCATATGCATGGCAAACGATAAATACTTGATAAGTAATCAATTAAATTGGATTTACACAGCCAGCCTATGAGTTAGGGCTAGAATCTTGCAGTTTTCAGATGTGAAATCATAAATCCAAATGCCCACACTTGAATAACTAGAAAATAGAAAATCTGAAAACCAAATCTGGATTATTACATTGTGGGGTTCGTGTCTTTCTGTCATGTGCAAGTAGATGCTAGATGCTATCAGTAGATGCTATCAGTAAATGCTATCTACTATTTCTATAATGTATCTACAATGATGCAGTGGTATCATTGTTTTCACGATTTTTTGCTATTATCATTAATATTGCATCAAAATATCTTCAAGATAAATGAAATGTGGATGAGCTCTACCTTCTAGGAGCATGTCAGTTAATACAAGATGAGTCCACAAATAACTTTCTCCTGCAACCTAAATAATTTGGCTCAAGCCATCTTGTAAGATATCTGCCAGTCCCAATGGGTCAACCAACGGGTCATGTCTGGTCCAGGTTCTTGCTTGGTAGCCTGTGGTACCTAAGTTTCATTCCATGGAAATGGGCATGAAACTCGGCTACTTGGTAGATTTCTCAAGTGCACACACAACATTCCCCCAAAATATCTGTGAAGTAGAACTTACTGAAGTTAAGATGTAACTTACTGAGTTACATCTAGGAGTGCCTTCCATGTTGAATTGAACTTTAGGTCCAGGTTACACTTGATATTTCTCCGTTCCCAAGGTACTCTTTAGCCTAAGGGACTTTTGCTGGCCACTTGACCCAGTTGTATCGCACATGGCTGCTTTCTTTCTACCTGCACACACATTTCCTCCCACTGTTCTTTACTCTCTCTTTCTCCTTCCATTTTCTTTTCAAAAGTACATATGCACTGGGCTGGGGATTTAGCTCAGTGGTTCTGGCGTCTGCCTTACAACCACAAGGTCCTAAATTTGATACCCAGTACCAAAAAAAAAAAAAAAAACAGTACATATGCATTAGTCTTATTCTCATTCAAAGGAACATAATCATCACCTTTGTTCTCTTGGCTTTTACTGAGGCAAGCACTATCTTTTATCTTATCAGTGTATTTTTCTAACAAAGACAACTTCTTCCTAAGAGTTATTCCAGTGTCAGCTGTTGAAATAATCCCCTAAAACCCTTGCTACGACTATATTATTGCAAGGTTGATCTTGTAAGCCTGAAAGAGATAACATAAAGTTTTTTAGATACCAAGAGAAGGATTGCCTCCAGTTGTAGATATTGATAAAATCTTAGAAACTCAGAGAGAGGTGGGATTTAAGGATACTCTAAGCCAAGGGAATAGGATGAGCCAGAAGAGGTACAGGCATGTCTGTAAAGGATGCTTGTTCCAGGACACACAGTTAAAGGAATAGAAGTGGTACATAAAACTGGGAAAGCACATGGGGTGGAGGCAGAGTGTAGAGAGGTTTGAAGAGATTTCAATTACTCACTATTGGAAATAAAAAGCTGTTTTTGAACAGGAAATCATTTTGCAATCTCAGTATAGAGCTGAGAAATATAGAAAGGCATTTAGAATCACAGCAGCAACCCTCCCAACAGATAGAAGGATGACCAGAGAGTTCAAGGTTTTTCCTTTTTCCTTGATTCCTTAGGGAGTTCCTTAACTTGTTATGATCAGAAGGTAGAACTAAGTAGGGGAGAAGGTGGCTAGGATAGCAGGACTGAGAGAACTTCAATGGTTTCTATATCTCTCAGTGGCCAAGAGTTCAGTCAACCCCCGTAGCCATGTGGGGTCGTGTGCTGCACCTCCCCAAAAGCAGCGCCCCGGGATTTGAGGGGATTCCCAGGCAACATCAATATAGATTCTGTCTCCTGAGAGTCACCTAGAGACACACAAACCTTTCATTTCTCCTTTCTCATTTCCCACCTGCAGTGGCCCCACAGTGTAACCTGTCTTTTCCTCTTGGTCAGAGAAGCAGAGAGCATGGTAGGAGGACATGTGAGGAAGTAGGTAGAATTTAGCCCAGTGACTGATCTAAAGCATACACTTCATAAATGTCAGTTACTGTGATTGTCCTTATTGTCCCCTCTTGGCAGCCCCTGAACCACTGCATCTAGGACACAACACAGAGCTTCCTTGAACTGTGTCCAGGAGCACAAGCCCCTCTAACCTCTCTTGGTATTTA